GACATGATCGACAATTGTGTTTTGAGGTGTACATCACAGTTCATATGAACATAAGAACCAAGAGCAGGGGCAAGCCATCTGGACCTTCGAGCCCGCTCTGCCGTTTAATAAGACCATGGCTGATCTTTTCTTGGCCTCAGCTCCACTTATCCACCCTCTCACCATTACCCTTAATTCCTTTACTGTTCAAAAAAATTATCTATCTTAGCTTTAAAGCATTCAATGAGGAAGCCTCAACTGCTTCACTGGGCAGGGAATTCCACAAATTCACAACCCTTTGGGTGAAGACGTTCCTCCTCAATTCAGTCCTAAATCTGCTCCTCCTTATTTTGAGGCTATGCCTCTTCATTCTAGTTTCACCTGCCAGTGGAAACAATCTCCCTGCTTCTGTCTTCTCTATTCCCTTCATAATTTTATATGTTTCTATAAGATCCCCCCCTCATTTTTCTAAATTCCAACAAATGTAATCCCAGTCTACTCAGTCTCTCCTCATAAGCCAACCCTCTCAACTCCAGAATCAACCTAGTGAACCTCCTCTGCACCCCCTCCAGTGCCAGTACATCATTTCTCAAGTAAGGAAACCAAAACTGTACACAGTACTCCGGGTGTGGCCTCAGCAGCATCCTATACAACTATAACAAGTGAAGAGAAGATCAATTACAAGCACTATTCCTTCCCCAGCTGCTAAACTTGATTGAAATCCAGTGATAATGCAGGGATTATTTAATTTATCTGTCAGACTCTTCTAAAGGGTTTGACCATAAGACAACTGATATACGGGTAGCATTAGACCATTTGGTTTATAGAGTCTGTTCCACCAATCAATCATGTCTGATACGTTTCTCAACCCCATTGTCCTGTCTTAACCTGTAACATTCGATCCAATTAAGAATCTGTGAGAATCTCAGTGAAAATTTGCAGTCTCATTCAGCCTAAACTTGATCTGATTCCTGGCAAGTGCTGAATTTGAGTGATAGCAGAAAAGCAATAATTATCATAAAGCACCTCCTGGAGTCAGGGCTGCCCCTCCTGATCACCATCCAATCAACTCTGTGGCAGCATAGACATGGAGTTAGAAATAATTAGGCTCAACTGGAACACACTGTTATACTCACTGACTAGACTCATGTACAACTGGCTAGTTGGACACAATACATGAACACATTCCTACAGAGGTCAGCATTTTCTGGACAGGAGTGAGAAAATTGGACAAAAAAGAGTGAAACACAAAGTACTTGAGTTCTAACAGAGCAGCAACATGCACATGGCATGTGACAGCTACCATCACACAGGGCTCAGCAACTAAGAAACTGTGAACCACAACTCAAAATACCTTTCACTTATTTGTAATCATCTCTTCAAACACTCCCAGGAGAGGGGCAGCACAGGGTTAGACAGAGAGTAAAGCTTCCTCTACACTGTCCCCCATCAAACACTCCCAGGAGAGGGACAGCACGGGGATATTTCCAGTCTCTCTCTATTTTCCAGATTTTCTTCCTTACTTTCCCAACAAGCACAATTGCGCTCTCCAAGAATTCCCCATCTCGTCACTATTATTAACAATTTCTGTAGTATTCCCAGGCAGATATTATCACTGATATTTCTAGTCTCTTCCTCTCTATCCCTAGTATCTGCCCTCAGTATCTCCCAATCTCTGGGTGTTAGGTCACTGCCACCCATTAACCTGTGGGCACTCCAGTCTCTTTCTCAGTTATTATTGATTACTGCCACTTCTTCCAGTCCCTTCTTCCCCATCCAGGTTTTTGGTGGTTCTGCTTTTGTCACTCATAATCTCAGTTTCTCTCTTCAACATTTCCTCTCCACTCCTGTTGTTCCTGTCCTCACTATTCCCAATTTATCATTTTTTACGATTCCTTTATACCCAGTCCCTCTCCCCCCAACCCCAGTACCCTCACGCCTTCACTATCCAGAAATTATATGCAGCCCTTTCCTTTTCCTGGTCTGTTCTCCCTATCTCAGGATTTTTGGAGTCCCCTCATAATCCTAATGTTCCATTTATTCTGGGCTATGCTAAAATTCTCAGCTCCTTCCTTACACACTGTTCCCTCACTAGTCCACAATTTGCTCTTTCTGATACTTCCTTCTTCTCTGGTATTTCCTGCCATTGCAACTTCAACACATTTCCTCATTGGTAACACTCATTCTCCTAGTATTCCACATACTGAAGTTCCATGATATTCAAGGTAGCATTATCTTGCTGTTACTTCCTTCACGGTATTCCCTCATTACTCTGGTATTACCTTCATCTCCCAGTGCTCCCTCATTACAGCTTCATTCTTTTGCTCTCTTGTTATTTCATCTCAATGCTGATAATCACTCCCTCTCCCAGAAATTCTTCATTACCCCAGCATTTCCTCATGACACAGTATTCCTGCAGTTTTCTCAAATTATTCTTGTATTCCATCTCTCTGGTATTCCCTTATTCATTTCTTCTCCTACTGTTCTCTTATTATTCCAATTACGCCCTCCCAGTATTCCCTCCTCTCCTGGTATTCCCTCTTTATATTGATATTTCCCCTTCTCCCATTATCTCCCTCTTCTGGTATTCACCCATCATTCCACAATTCCCCCTCTTCTCTCTCTCTGTATTTCTCCATTTTAACGGCATGCCACTGGTCCCCTCTCAGTATTCCCCATCAATTTGGTATCCATCCTCACCCAGTATTCCGCAATTATTCTGGTATTACCCCACTTCACCCTTCCCTGTATTCTCCATTTACCCACTATTCCACCTTCTCCTGGTATTCTCCTCCTCCCACTATCCTCCATTATCTCAGTATTCCCCATAGCCCCCTCGCCTGGTAATTCTATTATCTTTCAACATTTTACTGTTCACCCATTCCCAGTATTCGCCATGTCCTGGTTTTCCACCCCTTCCATTCCCCCGTTACTCCTCTCCCAGTATCTTTCTTTATCCCAGTATTCCCTCACTATCCTGGTATTCTCACCTTTCCTGGTATTTCCCATTATCCAGTATACTCTTCTCCATTCCCAGTATTCCCTCATTATCACAGTATTACCCCTTCTCCTAGAATCCCCGTATTCCTCCCCTTCTCTCACTGTATCCTCACCCTTCTCTCCCAGTGTTCCCCCTTTATCCTGGTATTACTCCCTCCTCTCCTGATCGTCCCCCATTACCCTAGTATTCCCTCATTATCCCCTATGTCCACTGTCCCAGTACTTCTTCATTATCCCAGTATTGCCCCATCTTCCGGTATTCCAGCCCCCTCTCGGTATTTCCCTATTACCCCAGTATTCCATCACCCTCTCAGTATACCCTCATTATCCTGGTATTCCACCCCCACACCCCAAATATTCCATCAGTATCCCAATATTCCATCCCCCTCCCGGTATTCCCTCAATATCCCAATATTACACACTCTTCCCCGTTATTGCTGGGTATCCCGGTATTCCACACCACTCCTGGCATTCCACCAATACCCCAGTATTCCACCACCCTCCCAGCATTCCCTCAGTATCCCAGTATTCCACCCTCCTGGTATTCCCTCAGAATCCAGGTATTCCATCCCCTCCTCATATTTCCTCATTATCTTGGTTTTCCATCACCCTCCCAGTATTCCCTCATTACCTCTCAGTATCCCAATATTCCACTCCCTTCTAAGTATTACTTTAGTATTCCAAACCCTTCCAGTATTCCCTCAGTAACCCAATATTCCAACGCCCCTCCGGGTATTTCCTCAGTATCCTGGTATTTCCTCAGTAACCCAGTATTCCACCTCATCCCAGTATTCTGTCACTACCACGGTATTCCCTCAATATCCTAATATTCCCTTACTATTCCAGTATTCCAACATCCCATTACTCCTCAGTATCCCCGTATTCCAACCCCTCCCCATCCCAGTATCCCCTCAGTATCTTGGTATTCTCTCAGTATCCCGGTATTCCACCCCTCCCCATATTCCCTCAGTATCCCGGTATTCCATCCCATTCTGGTATTCCATCAGTACCCCGATACTCCATCAGTATCCCTATATTCCATCCCCTCCCAGTATTCCCTCACTATCCCTTTATTCCACCACATTCCGGTATTCTCTCAGTATCCCAGTATTCCACCCCTTCCTGGTATTCCCTCAGTATCCCAGTTTTCCACTCCCTCCCGGTATTCCCTCAGTATCCTGGGATTCTACATCCCCACTCAGTATTCCCTCAGTATCCCAGTATTCCACCCCCCCCGTACTTCCTCAGTATTCCGGCATTCCGTCATTACCCGGTATTTCCTCATTACCCCGCTATTCCATCCCCACCAGGTATTCCCTCAGTATCCTGGTATTCCCTCAGTATCCCAGTAATCCTCCTCTCCTGGAATTCCCTCATTATCTCAGTATTTCCACCACCTTCCACATATTTCCTTAGTATCCTGGTATCCACCCCCCTCCTGGTATTCCCTCAATTTCCCAGTATTCCAACACCTCTCCTGGTATTCCCAACCCTCCAGGTTTTCCATCAGTATCCTGGTATTCCACCGCGTCCCGGTATCAGTATCCCAGTTTCCCACCCCTTCCCAGTATTCCCTCATTTCCCCAGTACTCCCTCAGTATCCCCGTATCCCACCCCCGCCCATTAGACCCTCATCATCCCAGTATTTGCTCAGTATCCTGGTATCCCACACCCCTCCCGGAATTCCCTCATTATCCCGGTATCCCCCACCCCCTCCCGTTATTCCCTCAGTATCCCGGCATTACCCACCCCTATCCGGTATTCCCT